CCTCTTTTTGCTGAGGAAGACCGGCTCTGAGCTAACATCTATTGCCGATCCTCCTCCTTTTTTTCCCCAAAGCCCCAGTAGATAGTTGTATGTCACAGTTGCACATCTTTCTAGTTGCTGTATGTGGGACGTCGCCTCAGCATGGCGGGAGAAGCGGTGCGTCGGTGTGTGCCCAGGATCTGCACCCGGGCCTCCAGCAGCGGAGCGCGCGCACTTAACTGCTAAGCCACGGGGCCGGCCCCTGCCCCAACTTCTTAACCTGGCTGTCTAGGCCTCCCTCCTTCCCTGCCTCATCGCCTCTCCTCTGCCCAGCCTTGTTCTGCCTCAGGCCCCCTGGACCTGCCATAAATCACCTGCTTCCCCCTTTTAGAGGGAAGGATTGTTACCCCAGATAACCTTTGGAAAGGTTGGGGATCCCTTCCTGTCCTCAAGACCTCTGATCCTTTGTGGCCCCATCAAACGCCAACTGTGACACCAGCTCACTTCCTCCAGTTATTATGAATCCTTCCATGAGCCCCGGGCCCCTGCATGGGTTTCAGGGAAGAAGTACTCAACAGCACTGGTTACAGACATGGCTGAAGTCTAGATTCAAATCTCAGCAATGCCACTGTCTAGCTCTGAGACCCTGGGTGAGTCTCTGTCTCTGTTTTCTCAGCTGTACAACAGGGATAATACTGAGGTCATCTCATAGGCTGGCTGGGATCATAATACATGTATAGTGCTAACTGTGGTGCCTGCCACAGCTAGGCAGTCAGACTGTCACTGCTGTCACTGTAGTTGTGAATAACTGGACAGTCTCCAAGTATACCAAGAACACACCCTCCTTGCAGTGCTGTCTGCCTGGAATGTTCTCTTCCTCTTCCACTAGCAGATTCCTACTTTTTCTTCAAGGACTACCTCCTCTAGGAAGTCTCTTGACTCCTGATCTCCCACCAGAGGTCTGTACCCTGCTCTAGGATCCCACTGGCCCTGCACGTCCCCATCACAGCCCTGAGGATCTGGGGCTGAGATCTGTCTCTCCCCCGAGGGGCAGGGCAGAGGCCTGACATCTCTGGCCTCCAGCATCATCCAGCACATGTGAGGGAGGCCATAGGACACCCAGGGTGAATGAATCAACAAGACACACTAGAGAGCAAGGCCATCTATACTTGTGTTCCTCCTACCCCACTGCGTGCCTTCTGGGGCAGAGCTGGTGTTTGACTCATTCCTGGGCGTCCAGCATCACTCAGTCTGCAGCCGAGCACCTGGGTACCTATAGCTTTCCTTCCACATTGTCAAAAGTGAGATTAAGGAAGCCCAGAGAAGTCAAGTGCCCTCCTCCACCAGGGAGAGCCGAGTCCTGGGTGCCCAGAGTCGAGGGAAGGCTAGGGCCGGGGGACAAGCAAGGACTTGAAGAGGTATGTGACAATGCCCAGCAAGGACCTGGCACACGGTCAGGGCTCAGGAAAGGTTACCTGATGTTGCTGGGGACCAAGGTGATGAGAGCAAAGAGCCTTGGCAAACCCCACTTTTGCAATGCAGCGGGGTGACCTGGGACAGATCATACTGCATCTCAGAGCTTCTGTTTCCCCTCAGGCAGAGAAAGATGACAAGAGAAACTGTTCTGAGGAGCCAGTGGGTAAGAGGCCAGGGTGGATCCTGGCACCGGTGGGCACCAGAGAGGCTTGCCATGGAGCAGTCCCCCTTTTCCCCAGAGGTGCCCACACTTGCTGTTGCAACCAAACTCTTTTATTGTTGCTCTTCAGCTGGGTCACACAAAGGCCGTGTCCAACTGCAACAGCCCGCTTGCTTCACTGGCCCCCAGTGCTGCCTGGCACAGCTGCAGTGTGTCCTCAAGTGCCAGTGGCTGGGATGTCTCAATGATGGCGATGGTCTCCCCGAGCTCTGTGCACATGATAGTCTGCTGAGGCTCGGGGGGCGGGGGCGGGGCGGGAGGCGGTGATCTGGGTGGCTGCAGCGTCATTGTCCGTGCTCGGGCATGGACCCGCTGATGCAGCCGCAGGCCTGCCATGGCGCGGAACCAGCGGCCGCAGGTCCCGCAGTAGTAGGGGCTCTTGTTGTAAAGACCGGTGATGGGGAGGCGGGGTGCGCGGGCGAAGGCGACTGGCCGCAGGTGCAGCCTCCGGTGTTGCTGCAGGTTGGAGCTCTGTGTGAAGCGCTTGCCACAGTCCAGGCATTGGTAGGGCCGCACTCCTGTGTGGGTCAGCTGGTGGCGGCTGAGATTGGCCAGAGAAGCAAAGGTCTTGCCACATGAGTGGCACTGGAAGGGCCTCTCGCCGGTGTGCGTCCGCAGGTGGTTGCGCACATGGACCAGCTTCTTGAAGCCCTTGCCGCAAACACCGCAGCGGTGCCGCCGCTCAGGGGGCCCATGGACCGCGCGCCGGTGCCGGGAGAGCCGGGAGGCCGAGGTAAAGGACTTTGAGCACTGTGGGCAAGGCAGCTGGGCAGGTGGGGCAGGGGGCGGTGGTGGGGGTGTGGGCTCAGCTGGAGCTGGGGAGGCTGCTGCTGCAGGGGGCGCCCCACTCTTGCCAGCATGGGTGCGCCGGTGATAGAGGAACTTGGTCATGTTGCTGAATGTTTTACCGCAGCGGCAGCGATGCAATGGGTTGGCAGTGTGGGCCCGCCGGTGGGCCACCAACGTGAGTTCTGTGCTGAAGCCACGGCCACAGTCCACACAGAGGTAGCGGGCTTCACCGCGGTGCAGCCGCAGGTGCTGCTCCAGTGAGGCTGCTTTCTTGAACACCTTGGAGCAGGTTGTACACTCGTGTGTGCCACCAACATGGGCCCGCCCATGAGCCAGCAGACGGTTTGCTGAGCTGAAGCTGCGCTGGCACTGGCTGCAGTGGAAGGGGTGGGCCGCTGATGCTGGGCCCCGGGATGCCCGCCTGTGTCGCCGGCGCGCCCCTGCTGAGGTCCAGTGTTGGGGACAATCCCCACAGCCCTGGGCCCTGCTGGCTGTGGACTTGTCGCCTCCCATAGCATCACTACCATCCTCTTCTGCTGCCTCCTCCTCCTCTGTCTCTTCATCATCATCTTCATCTTCCTCCTCATCTTCCTCCTCCTCTAGCCCGTTGCGCTCTTCTTTCTCTAGGGAGTCAAAGTGGGTGCCTTGATGCTCCAAGAACTCCTCAGGGGTGGCACAGAGGGTAGAGCACTCAGGACACTCATAGGGCTCCATCTTGACTTCGAGTGGAGCAGTGGGTGGCAGTGGTGGTGTCGGGGGAGGCAGAGGCGGCAGCACTGGTGGTTCAGCTGCTGCAGCAGAAAGGTGCTGGGCCTTGCGATGAGCCACCCACAGCTCAGGCGAGGGGAAGAGCTCCTGGCAGTCCCCGCACTGGTACTGGATCTGGCTTGCAGACTCCCGGAGGTGGGCATCCTGGTGAGCCAGGAGCTCACTGGGGGAGAGGATGAGCTGGCTGCACTCACCACATTGGAAAGGCCCATTTTCAGTGCCTGGCACTAGCTCCGGATCCAGGCCAGCATCCTGGGTGGTCAGTGCCTCCTCCTCTGTGACAGTGGGCACATGCTGCTCCTGGTGTGAGAGGACTTCCTCCAGTGTGTTGTAGAGGCTGCCACACTCAGAGCACATGAACTGGTGGTGCTGGAAGAAGAGAGATGAGGCAAGAGCCTCCCCAGGTGTCATCTCAGTCACCTCTGTTGATATCTCTGTCATCTCCCCTAACACTGGTGTTGACATCTCCATTGCCCCTGGCGACATCTGTGTTGGCATCTCAGCCACCTCAGCTACCACCTCTGTCATCGTGGGGAAGACAGTGCCTGAAGAAAGAAGGGGGAGCTGGTGAGACACCAGAAACCCAAGAGGAGGGGGGATGTCTCAAGGAGTTCCCTTGCCCATCCTGTTACTCACCAGCCTCTATCAATCAGGGAGTCTGGATCCAATGTTTATGCCTCAGTCTTCAATGAACCTGAGACACTGCAGCCGACATGCACCCCATGGTGGCCAGGCATCTGGAGGAGAGAGACAGCTCTCCTCAGTCTGGCCTCTGATGCCACCCTCTTTACCCAGAGGTCCAGTCACACCCCTTCCAAGAACACAACATGTCTTTTCGGGCCTCTCGGCCTTTGCCTGTGAAGTTTCCTCTCTGTGAGGCACCTTTCCTCCTTCTACATGTACACACAGAGATGCAGCAAAGCAAAGTGTCTAAGAGCAGAGGCCCCTGCTCCTGGCTTGAGTCTGAGCTCTACCACTGTCTCTGAGACCGTTTTCTTACCTGTGAAATGGGGCTAAAAGAAGTACTGACCACAAAGTCCGTCCCTGGTACTTGATAAAGGTTAGAAAGAACCATTACTTGTAGTTCTTCAGATATGCTGTTTTGGACCCTAAGTCTTTGATGCTGCTATTCCTTCTGCCAAGGAATTTCTCTCATCTTCTTGTCTAGCAAACTCCTATCCAGCATTTCCTTTGTAAAGCCTTCTCTGACAATGTGTCTCTAACCTCAGGGTGGTGGCCACTTCTTCTTCCTCAGGGTTCCTAGAATATCCTGTGTCACCTCTATCATAACAAAGATCATGAAGTTGGGATAGAGTCTCTGCTCCTCTCTGGACTGAAATTGCAGACAGGGCAGGTCTGATTCATTGCAGGGTCATCCACAAAACCACTGACCAGGGGCAGGGATTTTAACTTTTGAACTTCCCTCTATGTGCCCCATCTCCCCTTCTCCATGTGTGAACTCAACCCAACCCAGGCCCCTTCACACAGAAGGCGCTCAAAGTCTTCAGCAAATAACTGCCCCCTCCCACGCCTAGGAGCTAATTTTCAGAATCCAACCCCCACCGTCTCTATCTCAGTGCCAGAGGACAGGTGGAGTTCAGCTTACAGCCTGGCACACAAAAGCTGCTCATATTAAGCTCCAAGAAGACAGGGATTTTAGTCTGTTCATCACTGATGTATTTCCATTGCCAAGAACAATGCTCAACACACAACAGGCACCCAGGAGATATTCAGTGAATGAATAATGCTCCCTCCAGGAAGTGAGGCCCTGGGAGTTTAACTGTCCCTGTGCACATTCCGCTTCTCCCAACAGACCAACTCTTCTATTAGATTGTGAATTCCCACAATAACGCAGCCCAGCACAGGACCCAGCACAGCAACAAAACACAGGGCTGTTTTCAGCTAGTGTCCAATAAATGCTCCTTAAATAAATAAATCGCTAAAAGCCCACGAGCTAAACTTTCCTTAATTACCTATTCCAACTTGCTCACTAACTTTTGAGTTGCCAGCGCCCTGTACCCATCAGCCATTCAAGAAAGGACCTTCCTGGAAGTTGTCAACCAGGGGCCTGGGAGCTCAATTTTTCCTTGTTTACAGCCCCACTCCAAACAGAGAACTCCCCTGGGCGCGGCCCAGTGCCTGGTGTAAAGCTTACACAAAGTAGGTACCTAGTAAATGTCCCTATAGAAGGTAGCCTGAGAGACCTAAAATTTGTACTTTCCTCGTCTACATTCCCCCCTTCCCAATCTTGATTGTGAATTATTGGGGGAGGGATGGGGGCTTTTTATACAGTAGATCAGTAAGTCCTTCCAGGAAAGAACCCACCGGGGCCCTGAAGTTCAATTTTCCCGCTACACATCCCTTTTCTCCGACCAGACTTCTCAACGCCGCACGCAGCCTGGGAGATCCTCGCAAGGGGTAGCGGGCCGACGAGCTCAAGCGTAGGGTCCTGCACACCGCAGGAGCTCAATCAATGCTCCAGGGCACATAGGAAGGAGCTCTCTCCTCCCACTCCGCGCCGCTCCCGCCCCAGCGCAGGCCCCAAAGCTCTTGGACCCCCAGTGGCCCCTTAGTTCTCCCTCCGCCCTCTCCGTACGCCCAGCGCTCTCTTCCCGGCCCGCCCCGCGGCGCCCTCACCCGTCTCTCTCGCCTCCTGCAGCCCCCGCCGCTCTTGACACAGACCCTCTCCTCCAGGCGTGCGGGACCCCTTACTATCCACACCTCCCATTGGGCGGCACCCTTACCCGTGACGGCCAATCAGAGCCGGCAGCGGAGGGCACGCGCCCTTGCGCCTGCGTGTTGGCGCTCAGGCGGGGCTCGGCGAGTTTCTCCACGCACACAACTGTGCCCTGTGGGCGGGGCTCCGGGCTCGGAGGAGCGCCTGCGCAGTTCTCCCGGGCCGCTCCTATGCCAAAAATCTGCAAGTTAGCAGAAGACAAGTGGGCGTCGTTGGAAAGCGGGGGCCTATGGAGTGGACTGGGCTGTGGGAGACCATGACAGACGTGTCATTTCATAGCTGAAGAGACTGAGCGTTTCCGAGAGCAAGGCTTTGGAGCCAGACACACTTGGGGTACTTCCCCTTTCCGGGCCTCACTTTTATTCCCGTGTAAAATGGGCTTGAATCACATCCATCTCAAAGGCTGCTGAGGGGATTGGATGAAATCAAAGACGTAAAAGCCCTCAGCACAGGGCCTGATACACCATGAGTGCTCACTATAACCCATCTAACATGGACATAGTCCTTCCTAGTTTGTAAAATTGCTTTCCTTTCCCTCCTACTCTTCGGTTGATTTAACGGTATTCACTTATTGGGCGCCTACTGTGTGTCCAGTCCAGGACTGGCTTCAATCGGTGACAACTTCCATCAGAGAGAAGAACGCACTCTTCCGAGCTCACTGCTGCAGCCCAAGCAGAGCCAGTGCTGATCCAGTGCCAGGCCGGACCTAGATCTCCCGCCTCCCAAGGGGTGATAATTCCGGGGGTGGGAACAGGTCCGGGGAGGGAAACTGTCTCAAGGCACGTGTGTGGGCTCTGACCTTGAGTCACCTAAGTGGGGGACAGGGTAGCCACCACGCCCAAGGCCCTTCGGCTGGTGAGGGGCAGGGGGGACGCTCAGACACGCAGCATCTACGCCAACTCTCCTGATAGAGGCCTGCTGTGCCCAGAGTGAAACTCGTAGGTGCAGGTTAGACAGGGGGTATTGGGAGGCCCCGTGACCTTGGAGGGCAGAGATTGGAAGGGTTATGGGGGGGGCTGTTCGAGACCCTGGTGGGGGGGGTTGTCTGACTGTAATGGGAGGGTCATGAGGGATGCCATTAGGAGGAGCACAGTCGGGAATGGAGGGGCCTTTTGCAATTAGGAAGGAGGTATTGATTCTAACATAAGATGGGGGAGTCCTGGTCTTGATCAGGGGAAGGAACTTAAAGATGGCGGGTTTCTGTTGGATGAGGGGTAGTCTAATTGGAATCATGAGATGGCAGTTGGGATGTAGGTTCTTGGTTGCCATTAGGAATAAGGGGCAGTCTAATGGGTCCAAGTCCCGATCATAAGGTCCCTGGGCGCAACTGGAAGCCAGGACAGTCGTGATTGTGGTCCTTCGCCATGGGCAGCTGGGGGCAGTGGTAATGTGGGCGTCTAGGTCGTGATTAGGAGGGGGATGTATTCCATGAGACGAGTAATTCCAACAGGTCGTGACGTGGGGCGACAAAGACCCGGCGGCTCAAGTCACCGGCGGGCAGAAGCAACCCTGTCACGGGGTCCTAGATCCAGCCCAGACGCGGCACCACTCTCGCTCTGCGCAGGCGCAGCAAAGGCCAGCCCAGACGCTACGGTTGGGGGCGGGCCGGGCCAGGCGGGGCTTGGAAGCCTCTCTCTGCGCTTGCGCCTAAGGGGCGTGGCGGTCGCACCTGCGCGAGTTGGGGTAAGGAGGAGGGGCGAGGTGACGCAGGCGTAATAATAGAGAAGGTGCCAGAAAGATCCAAAACAAGTGGCTGCGCCCGTCGCCCAGGAGTCATCAGACGCCGGAATCCGGTGAGGATCCAGAGAGGCCTCAAGGCGACTGGCGGCGGGTAGACGGAACCACCTGGGTGCTGGGGAGAGGGCGGTACCGCCCTTCTAGGGCGAGGAGGTCGGGTTTGCATGGTACCATCTGCGTGGAGCGGAGAGCTGCTGTGGTCGGTCCCACTGGCAGAAGCAGAGGGTCACTTTCGGACGGTACCACTTGGGTGGAGCCGTGGGGCCGATCGGACGGTACCACTGGCTAGAGCGAAGGGGCACGTCCGGCCAGTGCTACCCCGAGTCAAAGGGCAGTCGGCAGGGTGCCCCGGGGTGGGCCTCCAGGGTCGTTTGGACCGAATCGCTTGGTTGGGTCCGAAGGCTGGTTCGGAACATACCACCTGGGGAGGGGCGTTCAGGCTCGGCCGCCCGACTGTTCGGAGGCGGAGCGGGATCTGGCGTCTCGACTTGTTACTAGGGGACCTGGGTGATACCATTCCCTTCCGGGGCAGGGGGAGGCTGAGGCGAAGGGGGCGTGAGGGTGGCCGTGCCCGGCGGGACGAGGAGGGGGAGACGCACAGGCGGGGGTGGGGCTCCGGCCCCCGCCTCGCTGACCACTGCTGCCTCCGCGCTGTGTAGGTTCTAGGCCCTGCTCCTGAGCTTGTTCCGCCCCCCTCCCCCGGGTATGGCGCTGTCCGGGTCGACCCCGGCCCCGAGCTGGGAGGAGGATGAGTGCCTGGACTACTACGGGATGCTGTCACTTCACCGTATGTTTGAGGTGGTGGGCGGGCAGCTGACCGAGTGCGAGCTGGAGCTGCTGGCCTTCCTGCTGGACGAGGCCCCCGGCGCTGCCGGCGGCCTGGCCCGCGCCCGCAGCGGCTTGGAGCTGCTGCTGGAGCTGGAGCGCCGCGGGCAATGCGACGAGAGCAACCTGCGGCTGCTGGGGCAACTCCTGCGCGTGCTGGCCCGCCACGACTTGCTGCCGCACCTGACGCGCAATCGGCGTCGGCCAGGTATGCTTGAATGGGACGGTGACAGACTTCCGGTGGGGAGAGGGCCTTGCTCCCACTCGGCCCCCATGATGCCCTGATATGGACAGTGCCGTATCAGACAGCCTGTGTCCCATCCTACTCCACCCTCCTCCCAGAGTATCAATGAGAAATACAAGAGGGAGGAGGCATGGCTTCCGGAGGGATGAACTTGAGAAATTTGGCCACATCAATAATGATGTTTGTGGCCACCGTTTATGGAGGGTTTATTTCATGCCAGGCACAGTGTAAAGCCCTTCATATGAGCTATCACCTCATATCCTCCCGGTAATCCCATGAGAAAGTCTTGTTACTGTCCCCACTGTACAGGGAGAACAACAGGTTCAGAGAACTTAAGCAGCTTGGCTACGTATAGGAACTGAATCCTATGTGCTGGGCACAGGCGACGCAAGGTGACAGGACTGACAAAGTGTTTCTTCCCCTGTGAAGCTTATGTTTTAGTGGGGGAATCAGACATTAAGACAGATAATTTGTGGGGCCGGCCCTGTGGTATAGTGGTTAAGTGCGCGTGTTCTGCGGCTGGCGGCCGGGGTTCGGATCCCGGGCGTGCACCGATGCACCGCTTGTCAGGCCATGCTGTGGTGGCATCCCATATAAAGTAGAGGAAGATGGGCATGGATGTTAGCCCAGTGCCAGTCTTCCTCAGCAAAAAAAAAGAGGAGGGTGGATGTTAGCTCAGAGCTGATCTTCCTCACACACACACAAAAAACCCCAGATAATTTGTTTTTAGATGTGGTTATAGAAAGACTAAAAGGAGTGCTTCAAAGTGAAAGGAGGTCCCCTTAGATTGGATAATCAGTCAGGACCTTGCTGAGAAGGTGATATTTGGACTGAGGCTGCAGTGCTGCTCTGCGTAGATCTCAGAGGAGAAAATTCCAGGCAGAAGGAAAGATAAGCTTTCAAGCCCTGAGGCAGGAATGAGTTTGGCATCATCAGAGGCCAACATGCTGGGAGCAGAGGGGACCGAAGCAAGGATAGAGAGGTAGGAGAGAAGCCATGTCACACAGAAGCTTGCAGATAAAACAGCTAGAAAGTGTGGGAGCCGGGATTCAAACCTGGCCGACTTGTCTCCAGAAGTGATGCCCTTAATCTTTGTGAGAGAAGTACTCCTGGAGGACAGCAGTTCTGAGAAGGTGAGGAGCTGGGAGGGTTTAAGGCACAGGAGCCCCATGTGTGCAAATGCCTCAAGCTGTTGAGCCTTTGGCTGGGTTACTAGAGGTGCAGTGGCTAGTTTGGGGAGGGGCATTGTGAACTTCCCCTGCCCAGAGTAAGCCCATGAGATTTGGATCACCAGGAGAAGGGCAGCGCGAGAGAAGAACTGACAGCGTTTTTGGAAAAAAATGTCTGAGGGTCAGGCTCTGGAAGAGAAGATTTGGGGAGCCTACACAGAGGCCTGCTTACTCCTTGGGGCCTCAGGGATAGCTGGGGGCAATTGAAGGGGGGTAACATTGCAGGGATCCTGACAATGATTCAGCTTACAGAATAACCCTGACAGTTGGAGCTGCTGTAGACATCAGTTGGGTGGCCCCAGGAGGTGACGAGTCCTCTATCTCTGGAGGCTTTGGGCAACTGCTGGGCAGGAGGTGTTTGAGAGGGGTTGGTATCTGGGCTCTGACCTCTGGAGGACTTGGGCATCCTGTGTGGCAGGCATCCATCTCTGGATGGGAATTGGCAGCTGGGAGGGACTGGAGGCTGTGAATACTTCTTCCTATTTTTTTTTGCCGCAGTGTCTCCAGAACGCTACAATTATGGCACCTCTAGCTCTTCAAAGAGGACAGAGGCCGGTTGCCGTCGCCGTCGGCAGTCAAGCAGTTCTTCAAATGCTCAGCAGGGTCAGTGGGAGACAGGTGAGCCCAGCTGGGTGGGCATAATGGCAGTGTCCCTTGCTTCTGTCTGAACCCTGATGAACCTCCGCCATCCTGGCTCATCAAGGAAGGGGCTCGAGGAGCCATTCTGTCTCATTTTTGCTCTGTGTATGTGTTTATTATTGCTGCAAAAGCTTGTGTCCAGAAGCAACATATGGAATTGTTTCTCGTGGTTTTGTATTTCATCTAAATGGCATCACATCATGGGTATCACATGGCTGTCTTTGCTGGATGTGTGTCTGAGATTTATTCACATTGAGTACCTCTAATTGGTTTCTTTTATTTTTTGTGAGGAGATCAGCCCTGTGCTAACATCTGCCAATCCTCCTCTTTTTTTGCTGAGGAAGACTGGCCCTGGGCTAACATCCGGCCCATCTTCCTCCATTTTTATATGGGATGCTGCCACAGCATGGCTTGCCAAGCAGTGCGTCGGTGCGCGCCTGGGATCCGAACCGGCGAACGCCGGGCTGTCGCAGCAGAGCGCGCACACTTGACCGCTTGCGCCACTGGGCCGGCCCCGAATTGGTTTCTTTTAATTGCCCTGCCATTGAATTTATTCAGTCTCCCTCTCCCCCATTTTTTTTAGTTATTCAAACATAATTTCAAACATACAGAGAAGTTGAAAGATAGTACAGTGAACATGCTCATATCTTACATCTTGATTTGGTAATTTTAACATTTTGCCACTTTTGCTTTATGTGTGTGTATACATAATTCTGGGATTTTTGTTGAACTCTTTGAAAGTAAATTATGGCCATCAGGACACTTTACCCCTAAATCAGCAGGCATTTCCTGAGAATAAGGAGATTCTCTTGTACATTTCAAGACCATTGTCATAGCTAGGAAAGTAAATATAATTCTCTGATATCCTAATGGTCTGTTTTCAGATCTCCCCAAGATTGTCTCCACTTTCAAGATCTGCTAGTTGAGTTGCTCTGCATTCAGTTATCATGGCTCCTTAATCTCTTACTATAGAACTGAGCTTCCTCCCTCACAACATACCTTTTTCTTTTTTTCCCACGACATTGACTTATTGACCCTACCAGTCCAGTTGCTTTGTGGAATGTCCCAATTGTTTCCAGAAGTGTTGGACAATTTCCTGATGGTGTCATTCATCTTGTCCCTCTGGCCCCTGTATTTCCTGTGAAGTGGGAATTGGGTCTGGAGGCTTGCCTAGAATCGGGTGCATGTTTTTGGCAGGAGTGCTCCTTGGTTGATGCTGTGTGCTTCGTACTGAAGCACATCAGGAGGTGTAAGGTCTGGTTTTCCTGTCGTGAGAGGGCAAGTTGGATCATTTGGCTAAGGTGGTATCTGCCATATTTGTCCTTTGTTTATTTATTTTTTGTGTGTGTGTGAGGAAGATCAGCCCTTAGCTAACATCCCTGCTAATCCTTTTTTTGCTAAGGAAGAGTGGCTCTGAGCTAACATCCATTGCCAATCCTCCTTCTTTTTTTTTTTTCCCCCCAAAGCCCCCCAGTAGATAGTTGTATGTCATAGTTGCACATCCTTCTAGTTGCTGTATGTGGGACACGGCCTCAGCATGGCTGGAGAAGCGGTGCGTTGGTGTGTGCCCGGGGTCTGAACCCCGGGCCGCCAGTAGTGGAGCGTGCACACTTAACCCCCAAGCCACGGGGCCAGCCCCGTATTTGTCCTTGGTAAAGGGAGATTTTTTTTCCCTCTGTGGTTAGTAGACAATCTGCAGGATGACACTTTGGCACGTCCTGTTCCCCAGCAGCATCCGCAGTGGGTTTAGCATCCATTGGTGATCTCTCCCTGAACCAGTTATTACACTGGTGTTTGCAAAATGGTGATTTTCTAATTCTGTAATTTTTCCACATCTGTTAGCTGGCATTCTTTAAAGAGGAGTTTTCTTTCTCTGTCTCTCTTTGGGGGAATGGGGAGAGAGTATCACTGTGGACTCATGTATTGTTTATTTACTGTGTTGTAGTCAATTAGTTATTACTCCTGATGTTGAAATTGCCTAGTTCCTGTGTCATTTGATGTGTCTCCTTTGGTCTTTGGCACTTCCTGCTTTGTGGCACCACAAGGTGTCCTGGGCTCACTTGTGCTTTCCCTTCCCCAGCCGTGGAGTCAGCTGTTTCCAGAAGCCTGGTTTCTTTTAGAAGCAGTGGTATTTAGAGACCAAGATCTGGGTGCTGAGTGTGTGCATTGTTTCTAGGCTCTTTCAGTGAACAGAGCTAGAAACTGTGCTTAAAAAAAGTTTATATTAGTATTTTCAATTTAAAATTAACATTACAAGGACCTTTTCTCTTGCACTGAAAATCTTGGTTCTTAACAACATTGAGATATGGATTTATTTGTTTTATTTTACAACAATAATAAAATAACTTCAAAATTATAATGTCAATAGCACTGCGGACTGTGTCTGCTGAATGTAACATAAGATTTATTTGTGGTTCTAATTGTCCTGGGAGTATATCCTGTGGAGAGTTTACAGTCAGAATGTTCTTCCAAGTTACTTGAAAGAATTCTTTTTTCTTCCTATTCATGTTACCAGTTATGTATACACTTAGGTTCATTTTTTTCTGCTTGTATTTAATTTTATGGTTTGTTTTTGTCTCAAATTTTTTGAATATGTGAAAGTTACATGACTGAGAAGTCAAAATAAAGTATATAAAAAAGATGTTCTTGGGGTTGGCGCAGTGGTGTGGTTAAGTTTGCATGCTCCACTTTGGCGGCCCGGGGCTTGCAGGTTCGAATCCCGGGCGCGGACCTAGGCACTGCTCTTCAAGCCATGTGTGGCAGCGTCCCATATACAAAATAGAGAAAGATGGGCACAGGTGTTAGCTCAGAGCTTATCTTCCTCGGCAAAAAGAGGAGGATTGGTAACAGATGTTAGCTCAGAGCTTATCTTCCTCGGCAAAAAGAGGAGGATTGGTAACAGATGTTAGCTCAGAGCCAATCTTCCTAAAAAAAAAAAAAAAAAAAAAGATATTCTTAGAAGTATCATTACCACTGCTTTTGATCTGTCTAGTCAATAGGTAATCAATTTCATTCATTTCTAGTTTATGTTTACTGTGTTTCACCTTGCAAAAATAGCAAATAGGTATATATTCTTGTTTTCCATCCTTTGTTATGCAAAGTGTAGCAAACTAGACACTTGTTTTACACCTTGTTCTATTTCACTGAACAGTCTATCCTGGAAATTGCCCTGTAGTCTTCTTGCCAGACGTTTACCGTTTTCAGGTTTACCTGGGTATAAACTATGAACAGTGGTTGTCATGCTTGTCTCCTGGTGTGAGTGTGCAGGGGTTTCTCTAGGGTCATGCCTGGAAATGGGACTGTCGGGTGGTGGGGCGTCTGTCCTTCTACATGACACTAGGTTGTACTCCTCATCTTAGGGACAGGGCCACTGAGGCCCAGGAAGCAGAGGGGCTCACCTAGGGTCTCAAGGCATGGAGAGCAGCCTCGAGCTCTTCCCCAGGCACCCACCTGGGTGCTCCACGTATCATCCTGGTCCTCACCTGTTCTGTCTTTCTTTCTTCAGGCTCCCCGCCGACCAAGCGGCAGCGCCGGAGTCGGGGCCGTCCCAGTGGTGGTGCCAGACGGCGGCGGAGAGGGGGCCCAGCCGCCCCCCAGCAGCAGCAGGAGCCAGCCAGGCCTGCCTCAGAAGGCAAAGTGACCTGTGGTAGGTGTCTGTGGGCCTCGGGGAATGCATGTACAGTTCCTGTGGCAGGCAGCAGAGCAGAGGGTGGGAGAAACAGGCACTCGTCGGGATGGTGACCCCTAGCGGGTGGGCAGTGGCTCCCGTCTATCTGTTGAGCACAGTGGAATCCTTGACCTTTCAGTTGCCATTTTGCTTGTCTACATCCTGCCCATAGTTGAAGGATCACGTCATATGTCACCTCCTCTAGGAAGCCTTCCCTAACAATCCCCTGCCCCCAATTTCATTTGTTTATTCAGCAAACATTTCCTGGAGTGTACTTACTTAACAATTATGTCTTCTGTGGTGGTGGAATAATGCAGGCGTCAAAAACAAGGACCCTAGGACGGACTGCCCGATTCACATCCTGGCCTTAGCACTTAAATAGGCTGTCTGATCTTGGGCAGGTGACTGAACCCCTCTGTGCCTCAATTTCCACATCTGTAAAATGAGACTGATAATGGTACCTTCCACCTAAGGTCGTTGAGAGAGAAAATGTGGTAACCCCTGTAATACACTCGGAACAGCGTGTGGTCCAGTTTGCTCTTCTCACTGTTACTGTGCCACGTACTTGGGGCGAGAACAGCAGTGAAGGTGCCTGTCCTTGTGGAGGTGACCTTCTATAGGGTGACAGCAGTGAAACCAAAGCTCGCTTCAGACAGTGAGTGCCGTGAAGAGTAGGTGGAGGAGCCCGGCAGGGGCTGGGCGTGGCAGGCCTCGGAGTGGGTGGGGGTTTGGTTTTATTCCATGCATCAGGTGCTGTCCAAGGGTTTGAAACAGGGAGTGGGGTGATCTGATACCTGTTTTGAAAGGATATCTGACCCCATCTGGAAAATCAGTTAATAAATGAGTTATGATTATGAAGTACTTAGAACAGCACCGAGCATATAGCATGTGCTCTGTCAGGTGCGTCTTAAGTAAATGGAAGTGGAAGCAGGGAAATGAATGAAGAGGCTGCGCAGTCCAACAGGAAGGAGAGGGCAGAGGTCTGGCCTGGGGTAATCGAGCAGGGGTGGACTAAGGAAATAAGGAAACAGTTTGGACAAATGACTGACGGGACCTGCAGACAGGTTGGGTTGGACGGGTTGGGGGCTTTGCTGTGGAGACTCATGCTCAGACCTTGCCCTCGAGAAGTTCCACCTGGTCCTGGGGGAGGACACAGGCATGGGGTGGGCATGGTAACTCTCTCTCACACACCCGCCTACACCCCTCTGGTGCCTCCTCCTCTGAGATAGCCAAGCCTGGGGACACAGAAGGGATCAGCTACTAAGATGCTCAGGCTGGAGTGGGAGGATGGTGGAATTATAGGTGGAAAGATTGAGGTCGCAGCAGCTTTGCATTCCCCAGGAGACTTCCGCCCAGGGGTGCTTCCTCCCAACGTCTGCAGAGGCTTCTCCAGCCTGCAAGGCTCGCACACCTGCCTCCTCCTGGTGCCCCATGTCTTGGCCCTCCAGGCTGAGGGTGTCACAGCCTCATAGATGAGGCTGCAGATACCACCTTCAGGAGGAGCAGACCAATAGAGCCAGCCTGTGTCCTCAGACAGCCCCTGGCGTGAGGGGGTGGCTGCCCAGGGTGGTGACTCTGCAAGTCAGGTGGTAATTACCAGAGCCACCAGGCTGGCTGGGCTGCCGAAGTAGTCCCTGCCTCCCTACGGAGCAGGCCAGGCTGAGGCTAGGGAGGGGTCTTGCCAGTGGAGACTTCAGGTCTCTTCCCTGAGGGCAGGGAGGTTGTTAATCAGGGTGTGGCTGGCTCTTGCTAGGGGGGGATGGGTGAGCAGGTCTGACTGCTGACTCACCAGGCAGGGTGGGGCTGGAATGAGGCTCTCCCCAGTAGGGCCCTGGCTTTCCTCTTTGAAATGGTGATGGCTTATCTTTAATGAAGCTTAGTCCCAGGGGTGGAAGGAGGCCCCTCCAGACCTGAGTGAGGAAGGGGCCTGCCATTCTTGCCCCCTCTTCACCTGTGACAACTATGGGGTTGCCCCCCAGTTAGATGTCTTCCACTGAGGGATAGAACGAGACTAAACTCCTGAGGGCCCGACAGTATGAGGGAGTGGGCAAGAGAATCCTGGGCTTGGACACAGGACCTCTGAGTTTCTGTGTCCCTCTGGGCTGTCCACTGGGCACTGTGCTGGGCATAGTACTCGCCTGACCTTGATTTCTGAAGACAGCCATTGCGGTAGGGGTGATGTCCCCCATTGTGCAGAGTGGCAGGGGTGAGGCTGAGCTGAAACTTTGGTTTGTTCACTGGTTATTCCGTGTGTATTTATAGAGCACTTAACTACATGCTTGGCACAGCGGAAATGGAAGCCCCTTGTCCTCATGGAACTTGTGTTCTAGTGGGAGGAGAAAGCCAAGAGACAGAGAGAAACTTCAGATGTCAGCTGTGAAGAGAAACACAGCAAGGCAAGGGGGTAGAGAGTGATAGAAAAAGTAGTTTTAGATGTATTTTCAAGATAGGGTGGTCCAGGAAGTCCTCTCAGAAGGGACTCTCAGAGGGAGTCCTCTCAGAGGGAGCAAGGAGGAGGCTGCCAGGAGGTGAGGGCAGGACAGGTGACCAGGGGCCCATCCTGCACAGCCTGTGAGCCATGGGCCAGGGCTTTGCATTTTTTCAAATGATGGAAGGCAATCCAAGGATTTGAATGACAGGATGAGCTCTGCTTTTTTTTCCACCAGCATAGAAGCAGACAGGTTAGCGTAATGAGCCCCGGCTCCCCATCACCCAGCCTCAGCAGTTGTCAGCTCGTGGGTGATCTCAATTCATCACCATGCTGTTTTGGAGTCAGTTCCAGGTGTCCTGTTATTTCATCTGTAGATTTTTTACTATGTACCTCTAAAAGATAAGAATTCCTAAAAAAGAAATTATTGCACCAGAAAAATTAACAGTATTTCCTTGCTATCAAAACATCTAATCGTTGCTTAAATTTCCAATTCTTATAAATATTGGTTCTCTCAGGTCTCTCCTAATCCATGGGATTCCGTGCCATCTCTCTTTTCTCTCTTTCCCTTCCTTGCATTGTGTTTGTTGAAAGTAGTTGGCCCCTAGCATTTCCCAGAGACTGGATTTTGCCAATTCATCCTGCTGTGGGGTTGATTGAACGGGTTCCTCTGTCATCTGTATTTCCTGAAAATTGGTAGTTGGGTCTGATGAGGCTTGATCAGATTCTGGTTTGATGTTTTGTTTTTTCAAGCTCACTTCCTAGGTAGTATTGTGTTCTTCCATCAGGAAGCAGGCAGTGGCTGTGTATCTTTCTGACGTTGATGCAGCTTCTCATTGCCTCCATCCATTAGTTTAGTAGAAGTTGAGGAACTTGATACTTGACACAGTGACTCTGGCAGTGTCTTGGGGAAGAGACTGGAGCAAGGGAGGGGTCCCGCCCTTGTTCAGAGGAGGGTGCTGCCGGCTCTGGTGTGGCAGCGGAGAGCAGGGCTCTTTCCCTTGGACCTTACTGGCTGCCTCTTTCCACCACACACCATGGGAGCACAGGTTCTCTGTCCTCAGCCCCCTTTACCAGGAACTCCTGGAGGGGAGACCTGAGGTGAGAATCATCCCTGGTCTCTAGCCATACCCAGCATAGGTTCTGGCATGCAAGCCTGCTCACCTGGCACAGGACCTGTCCTTCATACCTTTCCTGGTCCCCACTGGGAAACCTCTCCCATTTCTTCCCATGTCTCATTCTGCCCCAGAAGAGAGACCACTGGTGGAGCCTGGGGTTGGGGGACAAGAAGGCGCTGGGGCCCACTCGAGTGCAGGAAGCAGGAGCAGCTCTCCTCTCTAGGAAGGCGTAGCCCCAGCCCCTGCCCTGGGGGCAGGGAGCATTACCCTCCAGCTGTCCAAGTGGAGAGGGACCCTTGACAAATGCTTGGTGTTCCTGGTCAGAGAAAACAATTCATCCATCGCTCAGCCCGGGTCACACGGGTACTGGGTCTCTTCCTGCCTGGCCCCTCACTATCGCACGTGGGCCAGTCCATCTACTTCTCTCCCTGTCTTCTGCTTCCACCCTGGACCAGCCACCTTCAGCCTTCCCTGACTGCTGCCCTGGCCCTGTTCCTGACCACCTTGATGCTTCTGCAGAGCAGTGGGAGTCGTCTCAGTGTCAGATCCTATCTCTCCTGCCTCACTCGCAGGATGCGTTACATGCCAGGCACTGGCTCCAGCTTTTTACCTGCATCCAGCCAAGTAATCCTCACCGTGGCCCCACGAGAGCAGGTGCTGGGGTGAGCCTCGTTTTATGGAGGAGGCCCCTGAGGAGAGTCACTTCAAGAAGCACCAGACTCCGTGGCTGGGCCTCCCAGGGTGTGGTTGGCCCCACCTGGCCCTACCCCTCCAGTTGTCCCCTTGTGTCCCTCCCTTTCTCCATGGTCCAGCCACAGTGGCCCCTGCCTATGAAGGCCCCAAGTTCATTTTCTGCCTCTGGACTTCCATGCGTGCCTTTCTCTTTTCTGGGAGTGTTGCTCTTCCCATCTCCCTCTTCTCCTCTCTCGACCTACTTGTCTTCCTTCACATTTCACTTCCAATGTCATTTCCTGGAGAGGTCCTCTCTGATCGTTTCAATCTAAATTACAACTCGCGCTCTATAATTTTCTCTCTTGGCCCTAGGGATGTCTTTTAATTATAGATTTTTGTATATGGTTGTGTGAGAGGCATCTAACAGCGTAGGGGTAGTTAAGAGTTCGGGCTCTGGAGCCAGGCACCTTGGCTATAATTTCAGCTCTGCCACTTCCTGCCTGTGTGACCTTGGGCAGGTGACTCATCCTCCATGCCTCAGTTTTCCCATCTGCATAAAGGGGCTAATAGCTCTGCCTCATAAAGTTGCTGGGATGATCAAAAGGGTCAGTAGATGTGAAGTGTGTGCCAGTCTGCAGTAAGTACTATATAAATGTCACCTATTGTTAGTAAATTATTTTGGTGAGGAGTAAAGGAGAGATTGTGTGTAACGCATGTGATTCAGGGTCAGGGATGGAGCGGTGGCTCAGATAATGCACATCTTCTCCTTTTCCCCAGTGGAGCTTCCCTGTCCTCTTCCTCTGTGTGCCGTCCTCTTGGGTTCTAGATCAGAGGTTGGACTGTCGTCTAGTGAAGGATTTCCTCATCTATAAATGGGGATCATGAAAGTACTCTGAGGATTCAGGGGGCTAAGACAGGGAAAGCATTTGGGTAGGGCCAGGCCCATGAGAAGTGCTCCCTGACTGGGCGTTACATGTCTTCCAGTCCCACTTGTGGCGGGATGCTCATATCACCCCAGCATTCCTGGCACTTAGTAAATCTGTCTGTTGAATGAGAGAATGAATGAGACACACACAAGTCCACCCTGGTCCTGCCCCCACCCCAGTGTCAGGAGGCACGCTCTGAGTGAATAGACAGTTTTCACCACAGGTCCAATGGCAATCCATGCTGAGGAGAAAGGTGATCTGAGTGGGGATTCACCTGGGCGGGACGTGGGGTCCTGTGAGCTGGGCCTTAGGGGGTGAATGGGGACCTTCTGGGCAGAGGAGGTGGACAGGTCATTTTGTGAGTGTGGAAGGCTTATGCTGGGAGCACTTCCCTTGTGACTGGCGGGCAGGGTGTGGAAGGATGTAGCCGGGACTGAAGGAGGAGGTGAGGGAGGAGGTTGGCTCAGGGCCCAAGCGAGAGAGGGTAAGGCCCGGGCAGGGGCTGTGGGGTAGAGAAGTGGGTGTTGAAATCACAGTTCCTGTTTTGGGGGGCCTTCTGTCGGCCCCAGGTCAAGCGCTTCATGAGTTGCCTCATTTAACCCTCATGACCCCACTGTGCAGCAGGGACCTCTTGTTTGTCTGTTTATGTTTTTCAGATGGGGAAACTGAGGCTCAGAGAGGTGAGGTTACATGCCCAAGGCCCCACAGCTAAAGAGTGGCAGAGCTGGGACTCGCCTCAAGGTCTGTTGGACTCCGCCACCTGGCTCTGTGCCTCTGCCACTGAGCAGCCCCGTGTGGCCTTGGACAGGTGCTGCTCCTCCCAGTCCCCTGCTCCCCGGCCCACTCTGATTGAGGGCATGCTCAGAACCTCAGGAGTCAAGGATGTGGGTCCACAGGTCTTATCTGGTCCTTAGGATGGAGGGAGCTGGGCCTGAGTGCCGTGGAGGTCCTGGGGACCGAGGCCAGGCAGGTTTCCCTGGGCTTCAAGCAGAGAGGGTGAGGTTCTCTTCGAGGCAGAAAGAGGAAGGGTTTGGGGTGGGAGGAGGAAGTGGGTGGCGCTGAGAAGTTGTTTTGGGGAGCAGGGACCTGCCTTCTACTTTCTGCTCTGCTGCTGACATGGTCCGTGAAAGGTGAAGGGAGTCCGGGGCATGACAGTTCCCCTTGAGAGCTTCAGTTTCTTTCTTTTTTTTTTTGTGAGGAAGATCAGCCCTGAGCTAACATCCATGCCAATCCTCCTTTTTTTGTGTGTGAGGAGGACTAGCCCTGAGCTAACATCCGATGCCAATCCTCTCCTTTTTTCTTGAGGAAGTTCGGCCCTGGGCTAACATCCGTGCCCATCCTCCTCTACTTTATATGGGACGCTGCCACAGCATAGCTTAGCAAGTGGTGCGTCAGTGCGTGCCTGGCATCTGAACCTGCGAACCCCGGGCCGCCACAGCGGAGCGCGCGCACTTAACCGCTGCACCACTGGGCCGGCCCTGCAATCCTCCTCTTTTTCCTGAGGAAGACTGGCCCTGGGCTAATATTTGTGCCTATCTTCCTCCACTTTATATGGGATACCGCCACAGCATGGCCTGACAAGCGGTGCCTTGGTGTGTGCCCGGGATCCAAACCCGGGCCACCAGCAGTGGAGCACGCGCACTTAACCACTACACCACAGGACTGGCCCCGAGAGCTTCAGTTTCCTCATCTGTCAAGGGGCTGAATGTGGCCCCTTGCCCACAGGGCCGATCCTGCTGAATCCCCGAGGGTAAAGCCTTTGGCATGTCGGAGCTGTTGGCAGCTGCCATTCTCAGAGCACCTGTTGGGCACCGTGTACAGTGCTAGCCAGTTCCTTTCTATCCATTGCTCTCTTTTGAATCCTCTTAACAGCTCTTCACAGTAGGGATTGTCCCCCAGTTTAGGCAGGAACCTGGGCTCAGAGAGGTCATAATTTGTCCCAGATCACACAGCTAGTGCCTGAAGGCTCCTGGGTTGGAATTGGCTCCATTGACCTGAAACTGCTCTCTGGAGCATAGGAGATTCAGTGACCTCTGTTGGGCATGGCCACTGCCTGGCCCTGTGACCTTGGACAAGTCACTTCACTTTGCCTCCATTTTCTCATCTGTAAATTGGGGGTGATTATGGGGCTGGCCTCACAGGGTTGTTTGGGGATTAAATGAGTTCATCTGAGTCTAGTGCTTGTCATTTCCAGCTTGTAGCTGACCCTCAGGGCAGCTTGTGTTGTGTGTGGAGAGGAGGTTCTGCTAGTAGCCTGATTCATAGGTGGAAATTCAGTAATCCCACAGGGAGGTGATGTGCCCAAGGACATGTTTACAGGGATAGCCTCAGAAGTCCCGTGTCTTGTCCCCTACACAGAGCTGCCACCTCATTTGGGCAGATGTGGGCAGGGTTGTAAAGTGACAGAAACTCAGACTGGCTTAAGCAAAACGGGAATTGATTGTAGCTGAAAATCCAGCTGCTCCAGGTCTCATGTGATGAACTCAGGAGTCTTTTCCTCTCTATTGTTGGCCCTGTGTAGGCATCATTCTCTTGCCTCCTGGTGGCAAAATGGACCCCAGCAGCTCTGGGCTTACAGTCCACTGTCTTAGCAGCCTCTGTGGAAAGAGAGCACCTGCTTCCCAGTAGAGCCAGCCCAGTTCCAGCTTGAGTCTCCTGGGCTGGTGCTTGCTTGGTGGGTGAGGGGCTGGGGATGTCATTGGCCGGCATGAATGTCACTGTTGGAGGGTGGGAGATGGGTGAGGCTGGTTGCCTAAAGGCAAGTCCATTTTGTTTATGCGTTGGTTCTTTTACAAACACATATTGAGCACCTCGTGTGTGCCACAGGACTATACAAGTGAGCAAAACAGACCACCATCCCTTCCTTCAGGGAGCTCACACTGCGGGGAGACAGTGATGAGTATGACAGACTGGAAAGCATAGAATAGGTTAGAAGGTGAGAAGTGCCTTGGGACGAAATAGAGCAGGGGGTGGGGAACTGGGAATGCGGGGGGCTGGGTAGGGGTAAAGTTTTAAATAGGGAAGTCGGGATCAGCCTCCTTGGGAAGGTGGCCTCTGAGCAAAGACCTGAAGGAAGTGAGGAAGCAAGTCCTGTGGAGACTGGGGACAGAGCGTCCCCAGCTGAAGGAGAGGCAGCACCGGGTGGAACCTGCCTGGTGTGGGGGTGGGGGGAGCAGCAAGGAGGTGGTGAGGCTGGAAGTGGGGCACGTGAGGGGAAGAGCAGGAGGTCACAAGGTCAGGAGGTGATAGAGGCCAAACCACACGGAGGGAAGCCATGTGAGGGTGTCACCCGTACTTGGGTGTGGTTACCGGAAGGGGAAAGGATGTGGGGCAGGTGCAGTGCAACCCACGGGGCAGTAGGAGGAGCCTGTGGAGGAGGCTCGAGGGAGGGAGGGTGGCTGGCCCCTGCTCAGGGTGTCCGGTGTTGGCCCCTCCCTGACAAGTCCCTTTTTCTCCACAGACATCCGGCTCAGGGTGCGAGCAGAGTACTGCGAACATGGTCCCGCCCTGGAGCAGGGCGTGGCATCCCGGAGGCCCCAGGCGCTGGCACGGCAGCTGGACGTGTTTGGGCAGGCCACAGCAGTGCTGCGCTCTCGGGACCTGGGCTCCGTGGTGTGTGACATCAAGTTCTCAGAGCTCTCGTATCTGGACGCCTTCTGGGGCGACTACCTGAGTGGTGCCCTGCTGCAGGCCCTTCGGGGTGTGTTCCTGACTGAGGCCCTTCGTGAGGCCGTGGGCCGGGAGGCTGTCCGCCTGCTGGTCAGTGTGGATGAGGCCGACTATGAGGCTGGCCGGCGCCGCCTGCTGCTGATGGAGGAGGAGGGGGGACGGCGCCCTACTGAGGCCTCCTGATCCTGGATCTGGCAAGACTGACCCCATCTTCTAGTCTCTGGGCCACCTTCTCCCCCAGAGGATGACCATCTCTTCCCCTAGAGGACTGTCACTCCAGCAACTGTGAGGACTGTGGACAGACGGCCAGGCCCACTGACAGCCTGGCCCCTTGACAGCCCCTCCCACAGGATGTGGACTCTGAGGCCTAAACCACTTCCAGCTGAGTTTCCTCCCCTGCCCCCCCCCCCCCAATCCTCCCCATCTCCACTCCCAGGTGTGATCCCTTAGCTTCAGGAGGCCAGGGTCTCAGGCATGCAGATCCCAAAGGGAGGGAGGCATAGCCACACACTCACCAAAGGCCCCCTGCACATCACGTCCCCAACCCTGGGCTGTGTGCACACACACACACTGCTCCTCTGAAATCTTGCCCTGGGCTCTTGCCCTGGCCTGTCTCACACACTTCTTTGGCCTAAGGGCTTCTCTCTCAGGATCTCTGATTTTACCGCCCGCAACCCTGGGCTTCAGCCACACTGGGCACTGGAGCTGGGGTGCACACAGGGCCTGCTCACCTTGCCCACACATTTCTGCAGCCAGCCAGGGCTCTGCCCAGCTTCCACACACTGAACCTGGCTCTCCACCTCCTCCTGCTCCCCAGAGCTGGACGCAGACTTGCACATGGACCTGCCCCCACGGTGTCAGACTTGTGTTGCAGCAGCATTAGACCAAGTATGCTGTTGCCTGTGAGGCCAGGACCAGAAACCAGCTGCCTTCTCAGAAAGGGAAGGCAAAGGCGTGGGGCTGATGGGAAAGGCCTTTTACAAATAACACCAATAAAACTGCCCTGGAAGGGGCATAGGTGGGCATCAAGGCTCCTTAGGACTCTTTCTTTATGGGCTGGAGGAAGGAGCTGGTGAGAGCCTGGGCCGAGTACCAGTCGTCGAGTTCCTGGCCCAGTATTTTGGGCTGGAGGGTGGGTAGGATGCTGGATCACCACCTGCCAGCTGCTGTCACAGGCTTGCCCTCCTCTCTGGGCCTCAGTTTCCTCATCTAGCAAAGGAGGAAATACTGCCTTGGAATCATAAACTCGCCCAACCCTATTTGCCCATGCTTTGCTCCCGTATGTCCTTGGGAGTGCCAGCATTTTTAACTAGTTCAGTGAGGTGGGCCAGCTATCTGCAAGGCTGACAGAGCCCAAAGGGTTTGGAAACCGAAACATGAGCTGCCAGGGTTCTCTGCCTCGAACCGCTCTCCAGGGGGCTGCCCACCTGACAGTCACCACCTCTTAAATCTGGATCTCCATTCTTCCTCCTCCTGAGGGCAAACACTTCTTCCTGCTGCCCTGTGGCAACAGCTGAGGTTGTGGCCTCTGGCTCTTTCCCCACTCATTGTTTAAGGACTTAGAACTCAAGTTTCTTACCAGGGCTGGAGAGTTGGCGGTGGAGTGGGCAGGGATTCCCAACTGCTGGCTTTTCCTTGGGGAAGGGATGCACCTGCTCACACCTGGGAACCTGTCCTGGAAGCCTGACCTGTATTGATGGATAGGGATAGGGTGGCAAGTCTAGTTGTCATCCAGCAGTCAAGACCTGGTCCAGCTAGTTGCTGTGTGACCCCAGACTGTCCCTTTATCCTCTCTGGGAGGGAGCTAACGTTTGCTGGGCACGTATTCAAGATCTAGTTAATACTTAGACACTCTGTGTAAAATAAGCATTTACCCCCATTTTTGACAGGAAATGGGCTCAGAGAGGGTAAGTGACTTGCCTGAGGGATAGAGAAGCAGCACTGAGATGAAGAGCAGGTCTCCGCTGGTGGACGAAGTTAGGTTGGGGAGGGAAGTCGGGGCTTCCAAGCCCTTTCTCCTTCCCTCCAGCTGGGAGCCTCTCCTTGGCCTGGGCGGCAGCAGACTTTCTTTTCATGATCTTCCAACATTTGGGGCTCTCTGGGTTTACGGTGGTGCTTGGGGGTGGAGCTGCTGCTTGTCCTCGTTTCCGCGGCGCCAAATTCCAAGATTTGCCCCTCCCTCAGGCCCTGGGATCTGTCTCTCCCCCAACTTGTGAGTAATAAACCCCGCCTCCTTACTGGGCAAGATTGAGGCCCCGCGCTCTTCGTCAGCCCCGCTCCACTCTTTAGGCCCCTCCCTCTCTACTCTTTTCAACTGGGGGTCCTCCGCTTTTGCTGGCCGGTGCGGTGCGTGCCGGAAGTAGGGGAGCCTAGCCGCGAAGCCGCGGAGTCTGCGCAGGCTCAGTGAGTGCCAGGAGTCGGGTGGCGGGAAGCCTGAGGCAGGGTCTCGCGCCTCCAGAGCCTCTGTGAGCCATGCGCTGTGGAGGTCTCCTGGGCTTGCCAGAGGCCGCGCGGGGCGTCAGGAGTGACGGACAGACCCCTGAGGCCCAGAAGTGGGTCAGTCTCAGGCCATGAGGACAACCCAAGGAAGTCAAAGAGCTTTGGAAGTTGAGAAACAGAATTCTGTGGGGCAGGGCCTGGATAGGCTGCAGCCAAGGGAAATGGGAGCCTGTGAGAGTTCAGAGGAAGGCAGGCCATGGTTTCACAGAGGAGAGGAGCCTGGGGCTGGCTCTTGAAGGAGGATGAGTAGAAGTTCAGCAGAATAACAGAGAGGGACATTCCAGCCAGAGAGAACAGCCCTCGTGAAGGCCTTAGGAAACATGCCTGAATGGGATGTGGAGAGACAGATGAACAGAGTCAAAGGTAAGTGGCAAGGCAGAGCCAGCCACTCCCTCACTGGGTCAGCAGTCACGTGCTACCACATGCTGGCAGACAGACAGGGGCCCCGACAATTACAACATAAGGTGGTAACATGAGGCAGGCCCAGGGGGCCTGGGGCATGGCAGCACATATTCCACGAGGACTCCCGAGTGCCAGGCCCTGGGCTGTCCTCTGTTGGGGACCCTGAGAGGACTCTAGCCTGGGTGGTGGCTCTGGAGAGCTCCTGTTCTGGTGGGTGAGCCAGACTGGGACACCGTGGGTCACAGCCCAGAGTCAGTGACTGAACAAGCAGCTGAGGCTGGGGGAGCCCAGAGGACCCTGGGTGGAGGGACCCAGGAAGGCTGCATGGATTGGGAAGCTCCCTGTTTGTTCTATTAAAATTTACACCACCACCACCATCACCACCAAGATACATTTTAATTAGGAAAAATAACATTCAAAAAAGTGCATGAAACATAAATGTACAGTTAATAAGTTGTTGTAAAACACCTATGCCTCCCATGTTAAGAAATACATTACCAGCACCCCTAAAATGCCCCCTACACATACCATTCTGTCATGTGCCCCCTCCTGAACACAACCCCCCTCTTCCCCTAGCTGGGAACACTATCCCACCTTTCACAGTAAGAATTCCTTGCTTTTCTTTAATTTTCTAGTTTTACGTCACTCAATGACATAGTTAATTTTATCTTTTTGAACTTGATATAAATGGAATCATACAATATGTTTTCTGTTGTATCTGGTTCCTTTTTTCAATGTTGTGTTTGTGAGATTCTTCCATGTTGTGTTTATTTGTAGTTGACTCATTCTTATTGCTGTATAGTATTCCATTGTATGAACATCCCACAAGTAGTTCATGCATTGCACTATTGACAGAGCATTGGGTTGTTTCCAGTTTGGAGCTGTGAGGAATAATGCTGCTGTGAACATTCTTATGCATGTTTTTTTTGATGAACAAATGCTTACATTTCTGATGGGATATACCTAGAAGTGGAATTGCTGGACATGGATGAGAATATGTTCAGGTTTGGTGGATACTGCCTGTATTAGTCTCCTCCAGCTGCTGTAACAAATGACCACAAACTTGATGGATTAACACAACAGATATGTATTCTATCACAATTCTGGAGGCCAGAAGTCTAAAATCCATTTCACTGGGGCAAAATCAAGGTGTTGGCAGGCCCATACTCCCTCCAGAGGCTCTAGGGGAGAATTTGTTCCTTGCGTCTTCCAGCTTCTGGTGGCTGCCAACAACATTTGGTTAGTGGCACATCACTTCAATCTCTGTCTGGTCACATTGCCTCCTCTTCTGTCTGTGTCAAATTTCCCTCTGCCTCCCTCTTATTAGGACATATGTGATTGCATTTAGGGCCCACCCAAATAATTCAGGATAATCACGTCTCAAAATCCTTACTTTAATCGCATCTGAAAAGTCTTTGCCACATAAAATAATATTCACAGATTCCAAGGATTAAGCTGTAGACATGTTTTAGGGACCATTTTTCTGCCTGTCACACTGCCAAACTATTTTTCTAGAGTGTTGATACCAATTTATTCTTCCACCAACACTGAATGAGAGTTCTCTTTGCGTCACATCTTTGCCAATAGCCAGTATTGTCAGACGCTTTAATTTTACTAATCTGATAGATGTGTGGTAGTATACCATTGTGGTTTATTTTTCTTTTCCCTTATGGTTAATTTCTGCTTATTCTTGAATGAGGAGTAGGAGGTCTTTGGGTGGATAGAATGGGCAAGGGTATTCCAGACAGATGGAATAACATGTATGAAGATCTCTGGAAACATTTGTTTAAATTGAATAAAAGTTTTTTTGTTTTTTTTTTTAAAGCATTAGGTTATTAAAAGTAAGAAAATACAGAGAGATAAATGGAACAAAATCAAGGGTAAATAAGATGGTCCAATATGAGGCTCTGGCTGGGCAGGCAAGGGAGAGAAGCCAGAAGGGGTCTGGAAGACTGGCAGAAAACAGAGGGATCAGGAGAGTGGGGTTTTTAATTTGGGACTCAGAAAGTCCTGTGTTAGAATCCTGGCTCTGCCACTTCACTAAGTGTGTGAAGTGACTTCACCTTCCTGAGTATGTATCCTCATCTTTAGAATGAGGATACTAATACCAACCTTGCGGGTCTGTGTGAGGGGTGAACACAGGTGAACACATTTGGCACAGTGTCCAGCATGTGGTATAAGTGCTCGGTAAATGTTTGCTATGTGTGCTGCACTTCCGGGTAATGACTCAGTCCAAGGTGTGGTCATGGGAGTGGATGGCTGGAATGGGATGAAGGTCAGCACAGATGAGGTGGGAAGAGACTGAGAGGCTGGATAATTGGAAGGATGGATCATCATGGGGAAATTAAGTATCCCAGTAGGACGGCAGGGGCTGGGGTAGAGAGGAAGTCTGTGAGGAGGTACTGGAGTCTCCAGGAATGAATGGAAGTGACCAGGGGCTCAACAGATGTCAATGAGGAAGTGGGACAGAGGGTAGAACTTGAGGACATAAGGCTCAAGGAAGCCTGAGTTCTGTGAAGCCAGATTAGAGACCATGTCTGCCTCATCCAAGCTCCCAATGCCCCTTGTATGTCCCTTTGAGATGCCCCCAGTGGTCATCTCCCACACTAAGCCAGAGCTTGTCAAGGGAGGGATTGGGTCTCACCCATCCTGTAGTAAATAGTTGTTGAATGACCTGGGGGGTGAGGGAAGAAGAAAAGTCCTGGGTGACACATTTAGTAAAGTGGCAGAGCCGGGATTCTAACACAGGACTCTCTGGTCCCAAGTTAAAACCGCCTGGTTTTAACCACAACCCAGTACTGTCTTCTGTGTTTGAAATCCAGTATCCTGTGCTCTGATCCCAGCGCCTGCCTTACAGGCCTGGCAGGCCCTCGCTGCCATCACACCTGTGGCATCAACTCATACAGAGCTCCATTCCCTTGATCCCTCTGTTTTCTGCCAGTCGGCCAGACTCCTCCTGGCTTTTCTCCCTGCCCTGCCCAGCCAGAGCCTCACATTGGACCATCTGATCTCTCTTGCTAGCTCTCTAATAGTCAGAGTCCCAGCAGGAAACAGAGGGCACCACAGCTGGGATTTTGGAGATAATTTAATGAAGGGACTATTTGCAGGGATGTGAGCAGGGTTGAGGGAATCAACAAGGGAGGCAGAGGCTGCAGGAAGCTGTGACCCTCCTTAGGTCTATAGGGGTAAGGAAAGGAAGTGGTATTACTGGAACATGCCCGAGAGGCGCCGGAGTTGTGGAGGGTACAGCCACTGCCAGAACCACGGTCATGACAGAGCTGGGAGCAGGAAAAGAAATATCCAGAATGCCAGAGGGCAAGGGAGCCTGGATGACACTGTCCGTATGGGTAGAGAAGGGTGGA